TCTTCCAGCTCCTGCCAGTTACCAGCTACAGTACATTATGGGAATATATCATATACAGCACGGAGAACATTCCCGTATGAACAAGGACATATACTGATAACTGCAAAAAAATTATTAAAATATATAATTACACAATTGAATGTATTGCATATAAATACAAATCAATGTACAGTCAGCATTTCTGCATCAGGACATTCCCTGTCTTGGTTTTGATATATCGTGTGTAGTCATAAGAAATTTTTAATTTTTTTTTTTGGGGGGGTGGGGGTTGTTTTGCAAAAACCGCAGATAACACACAACAGATTTAGTAAGTCATAGATGCATATAATATATGAATGGTGCTGGCTTGGAGGATGCCAAGCGTGTTTACAGTAGCCTCTCACATGATCTCTCGCACTGATCTCGCACTGATCTCGCACTGATCTTTGTATCTCGCATTTCTATGGCCTTATATTTGGCTTCATTTCTGAGTGCGCAGCGGGACCTTTGCAAGCAACCTGTCTGCTCTGTGCACGCTCAACTCGGCCTAGACACTCTGCACAGACGCTATGTTCGCTCAATTTAAAATTGTACTGTGCATGGAAATGCAGAAATAGTTGGAGATATTGGGATGTTATATATTACGATGACAGGTTAGCTGCTGTCTGAAATGGTCCAATCCCTAAAAAAAAACAGCATGATTTAATTGTAGTTAAAAAAAAATCTCACCTGTGACATAGTGATTTTTCAGTATTTGACATCATATTTTGTAAAATAGGCAGTGCTTGACCAATAGGAAATCTATGACCAAAAATTTATATCACTGTATTTTTAAAGCCTTTATACAGTGTATCAATAAAATACGTTTACAAATTTTTTTGTGTGTGGTTTTATTAATTAGGCTATTATAAAAAATCGTTTACATTTAGCTTGATAGTAAAACTGACGTGTTTTATTGTAAAGTCCCTCTGCACGCAAAGGAATAAGGCACAGATATGATTCTCATACGTTTTACACGGTTTCTCCAGATCTCGGTGCAGGGTCTGAACTCCTAACCCCGTAATGTGGAAGGGTGGGACTGTATAGTAAATCATAACACATTACAGATAATATAAATTACACGAGGTTGAAAACAAAACCTGTTTTCCTGCCCTAAGATTACTACATAACTCTCTTCACTCCCTTCACATCTTACATGAATGTGTGCAGTCTAAACGCTCACTCGTGGAACTTTTTTATGGTTCTGAAAACAAGCTGATGATGGAATGTTTTTGGTGTGGATCTCTGCGGTGGCCTATTGCCCATTTGCATTGCATTATTTATCCAGTCAGCATTAAGGGACCAGCGTTAGCCCAGGGGGCACATACAGCTCAATTCAAAGCGTGGTCCTGTGCACTTTGTGCAGGACAGAAAGATCCCCACCCCACCCCTTTAAGTACTGGACTACTGGTGCAACTTGATCGGAACACTCGTGACTGCAGAAACCTTTAATCTGCAGAAAAGTAAAACTCTGGCAGATATAGGAAACCGATAACCACTCCATACATTCACCGAGGACATCAGCTATTACCTACGCATTATACATTGATTACACAACAGTTAGATCTGACCAAAAAATATGATTGGACAAGAGTATAACCGCACTGGACATTTGACATTAGCTGTATCACTTCGCTTTACATATTCCTCGGTTCCACCAACACAGTGCCGGTGCTGGGATGGTTCCTGCTCGGTGCCTGAGTACCTACCCGCGTTTCCACCTGTTTCAAAAATGAACATAGGCATAAGGTTCGTATGTATTCCGTTTTGTTGGATTTATTTTGATATGTTTCGGATTTTAAGTTTTTATAAGCTGCAGAACCGAAAAAAAGTTTTCAGAGTATGACTCGTTGCGCTGTCTCTACTGTCAGTATCCACTTTTGTCTCCTTAAAGGCTCCCCGCCTGTGTGTGTAAGTGAGTTTATCCTTCATTCCCGCTCGTTGTTTTACGGCTGTCCTTTTAAGGACTGCACAATAAAAGGGTCTGATAATAACTGAACTTCGCTGTCCGCCTCATGATCTCCTCACCACTTCAGCGTCACAATATTTTACTTATTAGACCTGCAGCACGGGTTTAATTTACAATCCAAAGTGATTCCGTTAATAAGCTGGCTAGTCGTTCCACCAGTCGTACCAGCGATATTAGACTAAACCAGGGCCATTCAAATCATGGTCCTCAAGGTCCGAGCACTGCTGGTTTTCCAGCCTTCCTTTACCTGTGAGCCAGGTGTGAAGCCTCTGGCCAATCAGAATCAGTCAATATTAAAGAAACTACTTGGGAGAACTGAAAACACGGCCCGGATTTGGAATCGAGGTCCAGATTTGAAGAACCCTGGACTAAACTATATCGGTTATGGACAGAATTTTCCGGATATGCGGAAGGTTTGGATGTGATAGCCTGTCGCACTTTCGCTGACGTTACGGGAACTATTTTTTTGTGGAGGCCCACAAAAGTTTTAAAAAAATAAGCAAAATATGCTGTATCTTATTACTGTTACCGTATAAATGCTACTAGATGAACTGTTGTATAAAAGCAATAACATACAAGAAGGAGTGTGGTTGTACTGCAATATATCACGACTGATTTGGTCATAGGCACAAGTCTGCAGGCCGAGTACAACTGCAATCCTCGTATGTTATTGCTTAATTAGAAAACGGTTTATATAAAGTCTAGTTACTGTACACCAGGAAAAAAGAACAAGTTAACGGGTGTATGACTGATTAAACACCCCCCTTTTTCCTTCCATTAAATGCCAAACACTAAAAAAACAAACCAGAAAACCGCACTGGGTTGTGGGTACCGTGCCTCACCCGTAGCGCACCGCCTTGTGGCGAGCCGTGCCCCGTACCAGCTGAGCGAGCGACGGGCGCCCGAGGCTGTCCAGTCTGTGGACATTGTGTGTTGCGGGGCTGAATGCTAGCGCCTAGCGCCTTTTTAAGAACTCGTAATCCCTTAAACACAAAAGAGGATTATATGTTTTTTTCGTCCTGAAATTCCACAATCAGTTAAGCGCTTGCGTTTGCATTATTTTAAAGCCAAAACAGGCCTAGAGTGTGTTTGGGGGGGGTTCCTTTATTACTACTTTATTGGAGTGTTAACTAGTGGTTTGTAGGTTTGTAAGATGTGTCAGAGTCTAACAGTGGTACACGACTATCTGCCCACAACCCTGCAGGTGTAACGACCTGCGCCTGCTCTCGGATCCCCTGTTTTTTACACTTACTGCATGTTTTATTTGTTTGCTTTTTTTTTAATACGAGACATTATGTGACTTGTATAGTCGTCTAATATTAAAAACAACATAAAGGCTTCACTGGCAGAATGAAGACAATCTCCAAATACACATTCTCCAGATCAATGAGGAAAACTTCTACAGACAAATCACACTGAAAGCAGTGTTCAGCAGTATTCTCAATTCATGACTGACAATGAAGCATGTCTCTGATCAGGAGGGAAATCAGGATGGAGGAACATGGGACTGTAGCAGGTAGGCGATCTTTATTTAGAAGAATGGGTTTGGTTACTGATAGACTGCATGCAAACAGGAAAAGTTCTGAATGCAGGGTAACACGGGTCCTCCCAGTGACTAATGCCCAAAAAACATATACAAATATATACACTTCACTGCGAGCAAGGGATGGATGGGATTAACTAATCACCACGCCAGATTCCAGTCATCTCTCCCTCCAGAGACAGCTACCCCGCCCAAAAAAAACATGAAACTATAAATAATGACTTGTGAGTGGGAGAAAACATGCACAATGTTTCCTTGAAGGTCACACTTAGGGTCTGAGAGCTACCATCACGTATAGGATGAGGACAGATCAGCAGAGGGACCTGGTTAAACCTTTCAGACTTTCTTTGGGGTCTCGTCCATCCCAGACTGAATTTGATAGACTTTTAAATAGATGTTTATTGTTTGTTAATTCTGTGACTCTGTCAGGGGTAGTTTGGTGCTGCGTAGCGTGGGAGTCACATTTGGGTGGGTCAGGTCTCGGTTCAGTCAATCTACACTGTTAAGTGTCTTGCAGGAGCCATGCCAAGCTGGAGACTCAATAAACGGGCTCTTGCCATCTCCATCCCCCCCCCCCCCCCCACCCCCACCCCAAACTACTGTGGTATTAGGTGGTAGGCTAACCGTTTCCGTTAGCATTTTCCAGAGCCTTCAGAATCATCGAGTGGAGTGAACAGATCGCCTCCTCTGGACACGCATCCACCCGAAACGCTCTGAGCCTTAAGCTTTGGGGCCTGCCTGCACGTTGCTGTGCACAGGATGTGTTCCTTCCAGGAATGCCGGTCAGCACCTGCAGCTAGCAGAATAAGCAGCATATGCGAATGTGACCACCCCCCTCCCTGCACTGTGCGAGGTGCCCATTTCCACGACAGCACACCAGTCTGGGTGCGAGGGGGAGAGGTTGAGCCAACCCTCGTGGGTTCATGGTGGGTCTCACATCAGTAACCCGCTCTCTCTGAAAGAGCAGTACCGCTGGACCCGGGAGAAACTGGGCAGCCGGCCATTTGTCTCCCCAGCGATCGTCATGCCAACTCAGACCATTACAGGAAAAAAACAACCAGTACAGTCCATTAAACAATGCCTGATCGGAACTATGGCCCTATTCAAGCTGTCTGTACTGGGCATCTCCATTCAAACTGTACTGTCTGTACTGGGGCTCCTCTATCCAAACAGAGACTGCCTGGGGCTCCTCAAGTAATTGTAAAAGTTAAATAAACAGTTAGAGCCAGAGGTCCCAAGTGGACCAAATGACCAGTTAGGGCACAAGTGTCCCAATCCACAGTCACAGGGAAATGATTCATATGGTTAAATGCTGATGATATGGAATATTTTACATAATAGCGAAGAGACAAACAAAATGTGTTTAATGACTTTTTATCGAGTCTAAACCGAGCTGTTGCTGTGCTGAAATGAGATGCTTCCATGAGGTGTGCGAGGTGGCCAACCCCCCCCCCCCCCCCCAGGGCTTACCTGGAATCCTCTGCGTCTCAGGATGCTGGAGTCGTCCATGTTGGCACGGATCCCAGTCCACTTCCTTAAGACGCGCGATTCCTGATCAGGGTGGGACTCCTGCTTCCTTAAGATTCCTGCTAAGGGTGGGGCAGTGTGACTCTTCAGGGACCGACATTCACGGATTATGAGGCCTCCACCTGCGACGGGCGCGTCTGCACTTTCCGGTCCGAAGTTTAAGGTCCAAACTGGTACGACTCCTCTTGGGAGAGACTCAAAAGGGGGTCCCGTTACTTGAAATAAGGTCTGAGCTTGATTTACATAAAAATATTCTTATTGCATGAAGTCAAGTATTGCAACAACACGTGCAACATTCTTAACATCTACCTGGTGGTGACGATCCATCTCACGGCGGTCCTCGCCGCACCCCCCCAGTAATGGCTCTAGCTGCTTGTCCAGCTACCCCTGGGACAGATACAGCATTTTTTCCCTTCCCCTGCAGTGTGCGGGGTCCTGCTGCCCAATGTGAGCAGCACAGTGGGTGAGCAGTGTTCCAGGCAACAGGGGCTGGGGGTGTCCGTCCACCAGTGTCTCTCTGTCTCCCGGGTTCGGTGTGAGAGGGCAGGCTCAGTGACTCAGGAATGCAAAAGCTGATGTTCTCTCTCTCTCCCTCCCTCTCTCTGTGTCCCAGAGCTCGGTGGGCTGATCATTCCTCCTGTTCGTCCCCCCTGTACGTGACCTCGACGTCGCCCCCTGCTGACCATGCTCGGATGCTTTCCTGGGGCACATGCCTCCCGACTATCTTCTCATGTTCTTATCAGTCGGTTCCCCTGATGCCGCGGTTACTCTGGCTTTTAACTGCCTCCCCTTGTCAGAGCTTCTATTCTAAAGGCCAACCAGGAACTGACACAAACGGAAAACCTCCATATTAATTGTACACACAGATCTGACCATGCAAATAACAATAATAGTGCATAATTAAAGCTTAATTGCCCCTCTGTTTCGGTTTGTTGTTCTTAAAGGCCAAACAGGAGCTGACACAAATGATAAATCGGCTGCACCAAATTAACTATGCAAATAACAATACTTATAATTAGTTAATAATGTTAAATGTACATGCACAAAATTAACTACACAAATCGGAATAATGTCAGTAATTAAAATTATTTAAGCTGCTTATTCTGTTACGAACCCATCACTATGTGATAAGTGTGCTTCCAAATCACGCTGGTGAGCCGGACAACCAGGGAGTTCCCGCCACCCTCAGCCAGGTCTCTCAGCACGTGGTTTTTCCTCAGAGCTCAGCAGACCAGTGGAAGCTGAGGGCCAGGGCTCGGCATCCAGGTCCCATCTGTTCTCAGAAATGGTCACGGCTGTCTGCATCCATAAGAAAGGCACAAAGGTGGATCATGGCATAAGAGGCGTTTCCAGAGCCTGTCAGGCACAGTCCAGCCCGCCGGTGAGGGGTGATGCCGCACGAGGGGGCAGCCGGCACGTGGGCAAGGGGCGCTGGCCTTGAAGAGGGCTCGGCAGGTTGCCGTGGCGCCTGCTGTTTTCCGCCACCTCTGGTCTGCGGCAGACCAAAAAAAGTCCCCCCTCCTGAGTTCCTTACACCCCCACAAGCACATGCACTCCCCCCTTGCACCTAGAATCCTAGGACAGGTAGGGATGGCGTTTAGCCGGCTGCCGACGGGACGCGGCTTCCCTTCACAAAGCCTCCCCCGCTTAGCCTGCTTCAGTGCCCCCCTCCCTCTGCTAACAGGGCAGCTCCATCCCTCCCACCTCCTCTCTCTCCTGTCAGCTAGAGCTCCTAAGTCAGTAGCAGCCAGCTGACCAATCACATGCAGGCAAGCCAGGCATGGATTTACAGAAAATACATGGGAGCCTGTAAGCCCCGCCCCTGCCCAACCCCCAAGCAAACACATTTACCCCAGGCACATCCCATCTGGGGAACGAGAATTAAATATCTCCCCCCTCCCCCAGGCGCACATGCATTACTGCAGCAAAACGGGAGCGACCTGGGGGGGTGGGGCAGAAATAAATATGAATAAATAAATAAATTAGTAAATAATTAAATAAGCAGGACTGCCTGTAGCAAGGCCCTGACACTATCAGCAGTGATGGGCAGTCTGCTTGTTCCAGCGCCCCCTGCTGGATAAAATGAAGGAACAGCTCATGAGGCTTTGCATCCAGGAGGTGTACATCATACTTAACATGCTTCACCTCAATAATGGCGAGGCTCAGTTTTGCTATGGTCTTTAGGAACACTAAACAGAGCATATTTGCAAGTTTGAAAACCATGGAGGTCACATAACCCCACGACTAGCTCTGTCTGAAAACGCCCAGGCTGGCATGGGGGAATAACTGAGTACTGTGTAGTGAACCTGGGTGGGGCATGGGAGGCAGGGTGTGGGGGCGGGGCACTGGAAGTGGGGCTAGTGGCTGCGAAGGAGGGGCCTGGGGGAGGGAGGTGGGACCAGGGGTTGGGGGCAGGGTGTGGCAGGCGAGGCCAAGAGGCGGGGGGGGGGGACAAAATGTTGTTTACACACTACAGAGCTTTTTTCCAATAAAATTATGTTCGGTAGTAGTGCTGAAATATAAAAACAACATTGTGTTTTTTTTTTTTTTACTAAGTATGCTATCTAGTCTACAAACCTGAAGCCTCAGTAACTGAAAACTGGGACAGAAACCATGGATAGCTTTTGTTCCAAAGGAAAATCTCAGCTTTTAAGGCCATGCAGAGGATCTAAATAAAGAACAAATGTTGTGTGAATCTGATGTGGAGAATAGTCTCTAAAAGGAGGATTAGTGTCATAAAATTATTTAATAATGTATTATTATTATTATTTTTTTTTTTAATTATTATTATTATTATTATTATTATTATTATTATTATTATTATGGCTGTGAGTTCAAATCTACCTGTTGTGAGGCACTTCTTGTACTTCCTGAGCCAAAACAAAAGAAACCCAACCATCTTGATAAATGACACCTATGGTGGCCATTTTGAAAAAGAGCAGATATTTAAGACTTTTGTGAAGGTGCTTCTCCCAGCAGCTGGTCCTCTTCTCTATGTGCCAATAGCAGCATTTACGCCAACTGGCCACCGTTCCCTCGGACTCCTTGTGGGCCTGGGGTTTAACATAGAGACGGGGCACACTAAATGGAGACACAGCATGTGACGGTTAAAAAAGCACAAGCACACAGAGATGCAGCTAGTCCAACACCAAGGAAATACACCGAAATATGTCCCCCCACCCCTGGTGCCCCCAGAGGATCATGGGAGTTGGAGTTTAAGCAGCACAAACATGTGTTTGTTTTTGTTTACGGTGGATCAAATAACTTACATGATGCAGGGAACATTATAATACAAACAATACGTATGTTGTGATGACTAAACAAAGACTTTGCATAATGTGAATAAGTTTCAGTTTAAACAGACTTTATGATTTAACCAGTTTTTTGTAACTTAATCTGCTCATCTGTAATTCATTATTTATTATGCAGGTGTACATGCGCACACACATACACACACACACAAACACGCAGAGACACACACATACTCTGTCTCTTAGGATCACAGCTCATCAAGATCGATCTGTAACAAAGTCTCCACCTCTGTCTGGACCTTGATCTCTCCCTGCAGAACCACTTGCGATACAACAGCGTGCTTCTGTGGCATCGATCCTCAGCCTTCCGGGATATCAAAGCCATCACATCCCAATGGAATCATCTTTTTTAAAGCTGAGGACATCCTGTCTTCACACAGGTGACTCTGAGTCATGTGGACGTTAACTGCAAGTGTTACATTCACATTTAATTTAATTTATTGGTTTTATTTAACATAAAAGTGGAAGTTATACAGAACCTTTCTCAAGAACCCAACTGTGAAATGACTCTGCCAGTCATGGGATTGGAACTGGCAACCATGAGATTACAAGCACAGAGTCGGAACCCAGAGAACGACATCCCACCCCATCAAGCAGCCCAAACAACAAGGAGCTGATGTAAAAACCCCTTGCAGTGATGTTCTGTAGGACCCATTACTTCCAGACCCACTGTTCTGGAAGTAATGGGAACATTATATATAGCATGTATGCATGTATGTAAGTACGTGTGTGTGTGTATAATTTGAAATATTAGGTCTAAGTCCTTGTCCTACTTCTGTTTCAGGAACCTTCTGTTCTAAAACCTGCTTTCGCAGGGAATGGGAAAAAAGCCTGAAAAGGTAGTTAATTATTTTGGAAAGTAACTAGCCGCGTAACCCCTGACTACAGGATATTAATATCTCAGTAAACGACAGAGATTCGGAATGAGGTCGCTAATCACTAAAGCTGGGAGAGACTGAAAGGAACCATTAATACGTGCTGTCATGCGTTCCCACGTCACAAACGGTGACGTGTCACAAGTGGAAGGGGACTAGCAGAGGAGAACTGTCATATTGCCAAATATTGTGAATTCCGTCAATTTCGTCTGAAGTATACGGCCACCCTAATAATAAGAGTAGCGTCACGCACACACACGAACACACTGATCTGTACCCATATCTTTGTGGGGACCGTCCATTCATTTCTACAGGTATGTGCAAAATCCTAATCCTGAAAATGACAGCCTTAACCATAAGTAATCAAACAAAATACAAGTCATTTTAACATTTATTTATTATTTCTTTAATAGCATTCACAGATTTTTTATAAAACACACAGACAGACACACACACAATCTGTGTACATAGAACATGTTCTACTCGATATTCAGGTCCTCAGATCTCAGAAAGAGAGCTTCGCTGAAGATTCACCCTTTTAAGATGGAAATAAGGTTTTTAGAGGGGAGATGCTCGAACATGAAAGATGAAAGCCATGGCTCAAGCCACTTCAAACTGTTTTTTTTTTCCTTCAAGGATGCCAGCCTGTAAATTCATTTTTAAGTATTGCAAATCCGTGACGGGGTTCAAAGCTCGCTGAGCATTCAGCATCTTCCAGGGCTTGTTCTCTGAATCTAATGAGCTGCTATTCTGAGGGGCTGCATCTCCAGCCCAATGAAGCATCCCTGTTTCATTGGGGTTCCATCCTCCCACTACGCCTCGTGTGTCTAACATCTGCAACACTTCGCCAGGGTTTCAGAACTTGCAAAACAACAGTTTGTTTTAAGCAGACGGACAAACAAACAAACAAATACAAATCAGACCATACATTTGGAAACCAAATGAGTGTAGATAAAACTGAGTAGAGCACAGATAGTCTGGAAACCCCAAGAGGATCGCCTAATGCCACCATAATGCCACAAACGCACAGAGTCTTCCATATTGTAAATGGCCCACTGTGTTCTGCAAACAAACATCTGAAGCTTGGATTGACAGTGCCATCTGTTTTCCGAAAAAAGCCGGAAAAGTACCGTATTATGTGTAAAAAGGCCTTTTCTCTGTGATCTGGGTGGACACTCAATGGCCCTCAATGGCCACCACAATCCCCACTCTGCGCCTCACTGACTGCTTAGATTAGTTTGCACCCTTCCCGTGTCAAGTCCAGTTAAGATGGAAAGTTCCTCTACCCTCTTTGAGAGCAAAAGCAACCTATCAAACTCATCTATTGCTGATACCCGATTGTTTTCCGTGTCATCTGCTAAGGCAGAAATATTTGCTACAGGCTCTTCTGTCGCCATTACTCTCTAAACGAACAAATCCATTGAATGCTGGTGAGGCCCTAAACAAGGAAGTGACATCGTTAATGAAGGTCCACCTTGATGAGCGGTCTGACAGTTGGGAATTGCAAGTTGACCCAAGTCTATCAGACAGATGGGGCGCCCCCCGGCACGTTTCGGTCGAAATCTCCTGTTCTATTAGTCTTACAATCGAAATTCTTTTTCCTGCTGATACAAACAGCCTTGCCCTACCGACTTGCCAATTGGACTATGAAGCTCCGCCTACTTAGATTTTTTGCTAATTTGCAAATCATACTTTTTCCTTAAATTCCTAGTTCTATTTATTATTCAAAATATTTTTAAATGAATTAAGGATTGCATAAGCACTTTGCACATTGAATTGCCGATTGTAAAATGTATTTAAAAATTACATGTTCAGATTAGATATTTTGAAATGACAAATGCATGCTCTGATTGAATATTGAATTGCCAATTGCAAAATGAATTTCCATTTGAATAAAGAGGCAAAAAGCCCATGGCAATACGAAATGCAATTCAGTGAATTGTTATTCTATTTATCATTAAAAATATTTTGAAATTAATTAAAAATTGCATAAGCACTTTGCACATTGAATTGCCGATTGCAAAATGTATTTTCAAATTACATGCTCAGACTAAATATTGAAATGACAAATGCATGCTTTGATTGAATATTGAATTGCCAATTGCAAAATGAATTGCCATTTGAATTTTTGTGCTTATAATCTTCCATAGAAAACAAGATGAGATAAATCACAAAGGGCACAAAGGGTTTAACAGGCAAACTGCTGTAGCTACAGTGCTAACCTTCGATTAGCACCGTATGCAGCAACAGACCATGGAGGCCTTTTCATCAGTCATTGGAGACCAAGCAGTGAAAAGCAGCGTCTGAGGCTCTGTGGTGGTACACAGGCAGGGAAGAGGGTCTGATTCCCATCCTGCCACCTTACCTGTCTCTGCCTAGTCAGCTCACATTCTTATAAATGAGTTCCTCTCACCCTAATTG